GTAATAACTGTTGCGGCTTATACGAGTTAAGCTCGCGCAACTGTGACACTCTACTCGTTGTTACCATTGACTACTCAGTAATATTCGAAAGCTCTTTCTAGTGTATTACCTACTAATTATGAATAGAGTATGGTGTTTATGTAATTAAGGAAGCCATTCCGATTTCTCCGGGTGTATAGCAGAGCATCTGCGGAGGCAGTCTGTGTGATATACGAGCATAACTAACAGTGCGCGTGAAAGGTGTGCGACCACAAAACGGTTCACAGTCCTATGGCCCGCGCAACCATTTCTATCTATGCCTGTACGAGTACAAGTATGTGTGTGTGGCAACAACAAAATGCAATTAGCAAATAGATGTGGCAAGAGATTCATGCAGCTGCAACGCGGCTACAGCCGACCACACACTCTTTTCCTACGTGTATGCTGTTGTTGGTGTAGTATGTGTGTGTGAGTTAGTGAAAGCCATTTCATTAAATGCTGCAATGTTTATTAAAATGCACGAAATGCTCGTACTTTTTGCCACAGACAAAAACAGACAGTACACCTAAAACAACAATAAGAACAACAACAGCCAACAATCAACAAAGCTGGCCATGCAATGCTCAGCACTTTGTTGTCGTCATGTTTATGAGACAGTTGCCGCATCAGCAGCAGCAGCAACAGCAGCAGCAGCATCAGCAACAGCAACACAACAACCACATATGCCACATTTTATGTTGTTAGGCACTCAACAGCACATATGAAAGCAATTGACTGCGATTGCCATGAGGAGTCTTCTACTTCTTCTTCTTCTTCTATTATCAACTTCTTGTTCATATTTGGACCATGCATTTAGAGTCAAAATTTTAGAGCGCGCCTGCTTTAGTTTGGTTGCTTGACTTGCCTTTTATGACATTTAAAACGCCTGCAACATATGTAGTATGTTGATGGCTCGTTCCACTTCATGGCTAGCGTTGCTTTTGTTGTTGTTGTTGCTAAGTATTGCATATGTATGTGTGTTGGTGGGTTTGTTCGCGCATCTGGCAACATCTTGTTGAGCTGTCAAAATATGCTTGTTAACAACATTTGTTGCACCGCAACAACCACACAACAGCAACACCAATTGCAAGAGCGCACTAACAACAACTACAACAAAAGCAAACACGTATGTATACGTTGCTGCCATGCATTAGCTTAAACATGTTTACAAGACATCAGCAACTTTTTAATATGCATTGTTGTTGCCTAAGCCTGGACGGCTTTTAGTTGCTGCTGCTTTCCATTTAATTTCTGACAGCAAATTTTTAGTTAAAAGCGACAAAAATAATCATAAAAATTGTTGATGCAAATGCAGCTCCATTTGCCCGTTGTTGTTGTTCATCTTCTTGTTGTTGTCTTTACCCGCCCGCTCTCCTGCCTGCCTGCCTGCCAGCCTCTCTGTATGTTGTTCAACTTTATCTCATTGTAAACTTTCCATAAATAGTCAAGCCAAAGTGAAGGCGCACGTCTGACGACTCTATACGGAAGAGGGCTGTTCACTTATTTTTAGAATCCCAAGTAAATCGTTGCTGACAGATATAATATTTATTAATTGTTTTATGCTTTGGAATGTGTTCCATCTTTTTATTAGTTATGCTTAAAAGCACTCGAGCAGTGCATATTCTTCGAACATTAAAGACCACTTTTGTCAATTAAATCAGTTGCAAATATATCTTGAACTTCAATGAATTAATTATATGTATACATATATCAAGTAAATAAAAGACAAAAACTGATTTTAGATTTATTATTTTTCTGTTACATCTTGGCTTACAAAAATAAGAATAGAATTTATTATATACATATATCAAGTAAATAAAATATTAAAACTGATTTTAGATTTATTACTTTTCTCTTACTTCTTGGCTCAGAAAAATCATTTCCATAGAATAAAAAATATGAGGGCCACGCAATTTCTTATCCGTTAGTTGCCATCGATCCTTCCACTGACTTAAGTCAAACAGATCCAAAAAGACATTTAAACATAAATGTATATTTTCAATAATTCCAAACAAAATATATTTTTTATATCCTAAGTACTTCAAATTTATATTTTGCAGAACTGCTCCCCCTACGTTTCCAAATGACATTAAATTTCGACAATTTCTTTAGAGTTCCGACTACGTTTTCCAGATCCAGTTGATGTGGATAATGTTTCTTTGAAAAATACGGGAATTTGTTTAAAATTTATTGGAAAGCTAAGCCAGTGGTTTGAGGAGAGATGTTGAGCACCATTTTAGAATGTAATGAACGAACCTCGTTCTTATGCCTGCGTGTTGATACATATATTGCGCGTTTGTGTGTGTGCCTGTGTGTGTTGACCGAGCGACCGCCTTGGGCGTGCGTTTGTCTAATAGATCAGCATCAGCAGCAGCTCAAATGTGTTTTCAGGCCATTTATCATCTGGCCGCTGTCTGCAATTTCAACGAGCACATGGGCGGGCGGCCTCTGCTTCAGCTCCTGCTGCTGCTGCCTGCAATGTTGCAGCCTCGCCATGTTGGCTGTGGCATTGCTCATGTTGCAACTTGCAGCAGTGGCCACAAGCAGCAGCTAGTTAGCTGAAATTCGAGCGGCGGCATCTCATTTTATGCAGCTCGCATGCGCGCACAAGGTGTCTGAATTTCAACGCCCCGGTACGAGCTCTTCCGGCTGCAGACAGTCTGGACAGTCTCTGGCTTTGGTTCTGGTTCGGGCTCTTGCTCTGGCTATGCTGGAGCTGCAGCTGGAGCTGGAGCAGGACTGGGCCAGAGTCTGAGTCTGGCTAACCGCTAATGTTGCTGACGGCTGCTAACCAGCTTGCAGACTTTTTATTTCATTTTTGTTAGCCTGCTGGCTTTTTCTTCATTTACGCTGAAATTATTTTGCATAAATCATTTTAATGTTGCGTGATTTTTAGCGCGCCCGTTGTGCTTGTTATTGTTGTTGTTGTTGCTGCTGTTTGTTAAAAGGCCTTTTAGCGCGCGTGGCCGTCACTTAAAATTTTGCACATTAAAAAGACAAGGACAACAGCGGGACAACAGGACATCGCGGATAGCGGTAACAGCGGTTGACATTCAAGTTAAAGTTTGTATTCCTGTTGCTTTTTTCTTGTTTGGAGTTTATTTAACATATTTTAAAGTTAAATTTAATTCAGCGTCTGTTACACAGCTGCCGACTTACTTACAAGTAAACACAAAGGCGGCCAACCAGACAGAGAGACAGACGGACAGACTAACTGACTGAATGACACTTCATACATAATACGTAGGCCTTATAATTACGGGCAGGCATAACATTTACATAAGCTCTCCGGCCGTACTTAAATGCGTCATACAGCTGGAAATATTCAGATCAAAGCGCACAGCAGCCGCACACATATACATACTTGTACAGTGAAGCCTATGGAATACGGCATTTCGCTAAATAAACAGCTTTTTAAAGAAATAACCTATTATTCTGAAATGCAAATATATTGACATTTTTTCAGAGTTAAAGGCGACCGGCAGCCCACCAAATATCTGCTATGCATGCAAGGATTTCAGATTTAATGAGAAAAACATGTTGTGTAAAGTCATATTGAAACATATGGTGCCCCTCAGCTTGTTTTATGCACTGCGTACTTTTTTATTCGAAACAATCAATGTTTGCAGTTTCGTTTTGTATTGTTTAACGAAAAGTCAAAGTCAACAAGTATGTACTCCGCTTGCCAAATAACAATTTAAAAAGGTCACTCGAAACGAATGCTGCACGGTATTACGAGAATAAGACCTGAAAGGCCCCCAACTCGTTTTGAAACGTAAGTGACAAGAGATACATTGTATAGAAAATCAAAGCCAAACATTTACTATACTTTCAGCTTCGAAACTTGTATAGTAGTACTATGTCACGATACATGATTTAAGTCCTTAAAGTATATTTCTATGATTCATTAATATCATTTACAGTTTTATTTCACAATTGTTTTCAATTGACTGACTCGAGGCTAGAATTGGTTCAACATTTCGTGCACAGTTACAAAACTGTAGAACCTCCTTTAAGTGGTAAACATGCTACGGCAATTACGAATAATTGCACAAAATGTAATGTAAGATGAATAATGAAACAAAGTGATTATATTGTAAACTTGATATTTTAGACGCTGTTTTCTTTTTGCGGCTCACAACCAAATCAATAAATTATAAAACGGCTTACTTTTTCTCAAAAATCAACATTTTAAGCTTTTTACTCAATTCACTGTGCATATTTAATACCATTAGCTATTATTATTTACTAATTGTATTTAATAAACAGATTTAGTACCTGTTTATCATTTCACTAATTTTCATTGTAAAATAATATAAAATAATCATTTAAACAAAAATTCCTTAAAGTAAGTATACTTTCCATCGAAAACGGATAGGATGAAATAGGGTCATGCACTTCTTTTATGATAGTGTGCTAACATAGGCGTAGAAGGAAGAAAGCACTTATCCCCAATTAGCGAGCCACCAAGCGGAGTTGTATGCACCACCTGCACTCTCATCCACCCCTCCCAGGTGTACGTGACGAAAAGGAGGAACACACGGACACGACCAAAACCAAAAAATTATAAAATTTAGTAAATGCTGACCTGTAAAGTAATATATTATTTATTTGTAATTTATAAAATATTTTATTCATTTCAGGAATTAACAAATAAATTCTGGGCAAGCTATTTATTCTAAATGCAATTTTCACGAAATTCCTTCGATATATAAACCGGCTTATTGGCTCTTAAAACATTTGCCTACGTTTTTGGCTTCTCAAGAGCACAACAGGCTCTCAAAAGCAGTATTTACTGTACACACGAGCACGACATGCCGGAATCCAGCCACACACACACACACACACCCACATACACACACCCACATACACACACCCACATACACACACCCACATACACACACCCACATACACACACCCACATACACACACATGTATGCTTTTGAAGTTCCATCCATCCAGCCATCCGTCCCGCTCTTAGCTCATTTTAGCTTTGAGTTGGCACTCGCAGGAATTATATCTTTCAGTTCGCAGCATAAATGATACTTTGTTGTGGTTGTTGTTGTCGCCGTCAATATGTGTGGTATTATTGTCGATGTTGTTGTTAAACATGCCACAATCCACAAAAAAAATGAAGTAAACGAATGTAAAAAGAAGAAGAAAAAGAAACGTACACATTCATTAGTATTAGCATCGTTAGATTTGTTGCCTCTCCGCTGCCATTATGGCTGTGGCTGTTAGACATTTTTATATGTCTCGTCTATAGTACATAATAGCTTTTCCAACTTACGCCATCAACTTTGGGCCTGCAGCGCGATCTTTGCAGGAAACGCATTATGACGGGCGGCATATGTTCCTTGTACATCGCATATTGCCGCAATACGAATTTGCAGCCACTGAAGTGCACACATTGGCCAACGTTTTTGTCGGGCGTCTGGCAACTTTTCTCTGCACGCACGTACGCACATACACACACATATATATATATATATATATATATATATAAGAACATATATGTATATGGATATATATTTATATTTATATGTATAATCAATAGGGTAAGTCGCCGGGCGGCATGTAATGCTTACGTGTGTGGCACAAAGTTGGCAACAAGATGATGAAGCAGCAAAAAATCAATCGAAATGTGCGCCGCATTTTGAATTTAAAATTCTAAGACGACGCCTCAGTCGCTCCTCTCCTGCCTAATGTCTGATGTCTTATGTCTGATGTCTGATGCTTGATGCCTCAACCTGCTGCCTAATATTTCTGTTGCTGTTGCTGTTGCTGCTGATGCTGATGATGTATTAAAGTCGCATTAAATTCTTAGATGCTTTAAGCTTTCGCTGCTCACTCTGCTGGATTTGGATTTTTTCTTTGCACTGTTTGCTCACTGGCAGGGCTGGCAGCAGATTGTTGCTCAAGTAAACAGCTTGAGCAACTTTTGATAAGACCGACGCGCTCCGCCAACAACGGCATCTAAGGCTGAGGCTAAAGCTGAAGCAGAAGCTGCGGCAGTGGCAGTGGCAGCGGCAGCAGGCCGACGCTTATCGGCGTGCAAAACAAGAGGCCAAAAAAATATGTACATAATATGTAAACAAATACACACGCTCACATATAGTAGAGCTTTCCGTCCATAAACACATGTTTAAGGCAGCGCGTACCAGTTCGAACCTATGCAGGGCACGGCGTACCACACAGTGGTGGCGCCGCGACGGGTTGACGCGGGATTTGGTGATGGGGTGATGGGGCAGCTGGATGGGATAACATGGGATGGGGTGGAAGTGGGAGCGGAGGGGACTGACGCCGAAGTTAACAAAAGGAAATGGAAATTTATTATACATATATGTAGATATATTGCAAAGTTGAAAATGAATTTTAAGCGCTGGAAAAATACATGCATGTGTTTTCTTTTTTTTCGTTTTTCTTTTACATACACGCTGTCTCAAATGCTTAGATACGTCTGCATGTGTGTTGGTGATGGAGGAAGTGGAGCAGATAGGCGTGCGGCGCCAATGAGCAGGTCTAACAACTTTTCAATTAGAGTATTTGCTCGACAAGGCCAACCCACCGCCTCTGACTGTGCATAAATAAGTATTTTCGATCAAGCCCCTCAAATTTCAATGCAATTTAAAATTTATGAGGTGTTTCTTTTGATAAATGATTTAATTGGAATTGTTAGGCGCCATCAAATGCTGCCAAATATCTTCTATGTACAAAGACATTGGGTAGAATAAATACTTGACTACGGTTCTTGGAGGACTTGTAATCGTGTCTGCATTCGGTCGTTAGCCATTTTCTTCACTTCTAAGCTTAAACTCAAGCTTACTTATTCAGTATTATGGCCGTTCCCCGAACTTAAAATGAACCGCCACACCAACAACTGCCTGCCATTACATCAAAACAGACTGGCCAGGTCAGTAACCTATAGCTTGTAACTTGCCGACTTGATGGGATGCTTGGCTTGACCGCCACATATCTGCAATCCCGACTCTTAGTCTGACCTCCTTCATCACTTGCTTCTGATGCCATTTTGTGGCCTTTGTGTTAAAGTGTGGCCTACATTTAGATATCGAATCAGCTATGTTATGTCAGCATTTAATAATCAGAAATCTGCCAATAGCTTATTATTAAACAATTTATTCAGTTAGTTGCTTATACGTTTATTTATAATAAATACCTGATTAATTTACAATAGCTCTTTAAATATAATTAGTAATATAGAAATTGCATGTATTTTAAAATGGGTCGTCAAGAAGAACCGACACAGAAAAATTATGTACAAGTAGTTGCTTGAATGTATGGAAAATACTGCAAATATAAATAATGTTGGCGCAGATGCTGCTTTAGATTAAGATAGTTTAAGAGAATTATTTGAATTTTAGTTTAGGGCGAAAAGAGAGCGCGAGAGCGGCCGTTTGCGGACGTCGCCTCGCGCCCTTTTTTCGCCGCCTTAGGCTTAGTTTAGCATGTAAGCCTAATTTGAAGTCAGTTGAAAAACCGAACTAAATAGAAGCACAATCGCACAATCGTTTCGTCATTTTCGATATTAAAGTCAGAATTAAAAGCAAGCGTCCCATCTTTGTTTAAATAATTTATATAAAATAATATAAATTTTCATTGGCGCCCGAGCAGGGACTTGCTTGTTTTTTTTAATTAAAAATTTTAATTTGTGCGGAACCGCGTCGGTCGTGTTGTTGTTGCTGCACTGGGGATTGTGTGTGTTGCTGTCACGTCACTGGATTATTGGAGGATGAGTCAAGTCGACCAAAGGGAAGTTCCTGAGCCAAAGTCGACTTCACAGGTACTGTGCTAAAGTTTGAAAGCGGAATTTAACCAGCGAATTGCTTATTTCGGCCTTCAACTTTCAACCTTTGGCACATACGTGACCATAATATAATACGGTAGATAGTTGAGCATAATTAACACAAATATAAATCGCATGTCGTACTAATATTAAATAAAAGTGAACCGCTATAGGCAATTATTTAAAGTGCCAATTTATTGTCGTTTGATTTTGTTATACATACATACAAACATAAATATACATAGCCACTTTTACATACGGCATCCCCCCCACGTCAATCTCAGCCAACCGTCGGCAGTTTTCGTTTGTTGCTTGCTCTCGTTGTTCTCATCAAATCCGCCGTTGTCGTTATTACATATGTAAATATATACCGACATACTCGCATACATAACATAGCTAATACATTGCTGTCGTGTTCGCGGTTAAGCTGCTGCATTTTTTGTTTGCCTGCGCTTCGCATAATACATGCATAAGAATTAGCTGTTCTGCTAACGCACACAAGGCATTTGTATTAGAATTATTCTTTTCGTTTGTCGCCACATTCGCTGCTGCTTCCAAAAGTATTGCCTTCGACGGTCAGTCAACTGCAGTTCTTCTCGTTTTCGTTCGCACTGCTAGACGACCATCTGTTGCGCTCCCCTACACTTGCTGAGAACAGCATATTATTTTCGATTTCTCGTTTGTCACTCGACAATTTTCGTTCGATCAAAGTTTAAAACTTTAAATCAATATGAGTAAGGACTTGATCGAAGAACTTAAAAGGAAGCGCGAGGGCTGTATGAGGAGTATATGTCGTATGCAACGGCAATTAAAAGAAGGCTCGATTTCGTTAGAGCCAATCGAGTTAGAATGCAGGTTAGAGCTTCTAACAACTCATATAGAAACTGCAAATATATTGCAAAGCAAAATTGAAGCAAAAGATACAGAAGATGACTACCGTGAAGAGTTGGAAGAAACTTGCATTATGACCAAATCCTTATTAAAAGGCCAGCTGGAAAAACTAAGAAGAAAAAGCATCGACAATTCAAGTTCGGCAAACGGTATTGCACCGCCTACTTCAAAAAAGCCAAGGTGTCGATTGCCAGCGGTCGCTCTTCCAACTTTTAGCGGCAAGCATTCTGAATTTAAAAATTTCATGAGTCTTTTTGAAACTTTTGTTCACAATGATGACACACTGCATGATATTGAAAAATTCAATCACTTAATATCATGTTTGGCTGGTGACGCTTTAGGCACAGTTCGCGCCTTCCAAGTGACGGAAGACAATTATAGCAAAGCCATTGAAAGTCTAAAGCGGGTGTACGATAATGACTGCCTAATATTTTTCGATAACATATCGACACTTTTCAATCTGCAAAAGATTTCCCAGCCATCTGCGTCAGCTTTGAGAAGCCTGATCGACACAGTGTCGGCCACCTATGACTCACTTCTGTCAATTGGTGACGACAAGAAAATCGCTAATGCCATTTTAATTTATTTAGTTATGGGCAAAGTCGATCCTACCACAAAAAAGAAGTGGGAAGAGCAGCTCGACTACACAACGCTCCCACTATGGCGAGATTGTGAGACTGCTCTTAACAGACGCTACCAGCATATTGTTGCTGAAGAAGCTAGTAAAGCTCAAGCGAAGGGCAGCCAGTCGAGCAATAACACTCAGACTCAAAAAGTAAAAAATGCTAGCAGGATAAATCATTCGTTCGTTGCTGCCAAAAACGAACAGAATAACCTTTGTCAGTTTTGCAATTCAGCTGACCATTCGATTGGCAATTGCCAGGCATATATTGCCTTGTCAGTGCAGCAAAGGTTTGACTTCGCTAAAGGTGCGCCTTTGTGCATAAACTGTCTCCGACGAGGCCACACAGTAGCGAAGTGTAAGGCAAAGAAATGTAGCGTGTGCCAACGTTCTCATCACACACTGCTACATATTTATACTGCTAGCACAAATCTTGCATTACCACCACCCTCTCAGCCACCACATCTTCAAGATAGCTCTTCCACTTCGCATGCCATGCATGCGACTGCTTCGGATAGAGTGGTTCTTGCAACAGCAGTCGTGAGCGTTAAAACGAAAAGTGGCGATTTCGTTTTAGTAAGAGCATTGTTAGATTCTGGGTCACAAGTCAACTTTGTGACTGAGGATCTAGCTCAAAAGCTACAGCTCAGACGAGAGGATACGTGTATGGTCTTGCGCGGCATTGGAGACACTAATGCGCGTGCCAAGAAAAGAATTCATACAGTGGTGAAGTCGCGTGTCAATTGTAGCGAGTTTTCCGCAGATTTTTGGATCTTGGGTTCGATTTCTGGTTATCATCCCGATCAAGCGCTGAACACCAGCGGGTGGAGGGTCCCCAAAAATATTCAATTGGCCGATCCTCAATTCCATAAGCCGCAAAAAATTGATATGCTAATTGGAGCAGAGTCATTCTTCGACTTATTGTCGGTGGGCCAAATAAAGCAAGGCCCTGAGTCTCCCACATTACAAAAAACGCTTCTCGGCTGGATAGTGTCAGGCAGATGCTCTACTCAACCTACAACGAGTATAGAAGGAGCAGTGAATTTAAGTTGCCAAGAAGAACAATTACTTTCGATAGACTCAACGATACAAAAGTTTTGGTCCATTGAGGACTTGCCTAATAATTCGAAAGTTCTCTCACCTGAGCAACAGCTTTGTGAACAACACTTTGTTGATAATACAAAAATCTTGTCGTCTGGTCGATTTCAGGTACGGTTACCTTTTAAATCTGACCCAAAAAATCTTGGCTCATCGTATGAAATTGCGAAACGTCGTTTTTTGTCGCTTGAAAGGAGGTTGTCAAAAGACCCTCAAATGAAAAGCATGTATCTGGAATTTATGGACGAGTATGTTTCGCTCGGTCACATGTCCTCAACGGACAACAAAATTCCAGATACTCCACACTATTTTATTCCGCATCAGTGTGTCCTGCGGCCTCAAAGCACGTCGACCAAGTTACGTGTCGTTTTCGATGCCTCTTGCCGCACGTCCACTCAGATTGCGTTGAATGATACCTTAATGGTCGGTCCAACAATTCAGGAGGAGCTTTATTCTACGCTGCTTCGTTTTCGTTTGCGAAAGTTCGCCTTAGCGGCAGACATTAAAAAAATGTACCGTCAGGTGATGGTGCACGAAGCAGATAGAAACTATCAGCTCATAGTGTGGCGAAGAGATCCGTCTGAGTCTTTGAAAATCTTCAGGTTAAACACTGTAACATATGGCACGTCGCCAGCTCCGTTCTTGGCGGTGCGGTGTTTAACAAGGCTGAGTGAAATGGTCCGTTCCTCACATCCAACAGCTGCTGAAGTTATTCGGAGCGACTTTTATGTCGACGATATGTTAACTGGTGCTGAAAGCGTTGAACAGCTAAAAAAGCTTCGAGCAGAAGTGTCGCACGTTCTTCAAAGTGCAGGCTTCGAATTGGCAAAGTGGTTTTCGAACTGCTCGGAACTGTCCGCTTTTGATAGCACAGTTATTCCAGTAGCCACAGTCGACTCAGACCCAACCAAAACGCTCGGCGTTATGTGGTTGCCGAAGGAAGATGTATTTCAGTTCCAGTTGGAAAATTCCTTCCTAGATCTCCACTCGACAAAACGGAACATATTATCGGTGACTGCCAGGCTTTTCGATCCTCTGGGCCTTCTTTGCCCGCTGATCACCAAAGCAAAAATGTTGCTGCAAGATTTGTGGCTACAAAAACTAGATTGGGACGAATCCATCCCTGAGAATCTTCATACAGTTTGGGACTCATTTAAGCAGAATTTGTTGAACCTCAGCGATATTCAAGTCCCTAGATTCGTCCATACAGATACGCAGTCACCCATTCAAATACATGCGTTCGCCGATGCCTCAATGCGAGCTTATGGCGCCTGTATTTATGTTCGTGTTTCGACTGCGAATGGTTGGAAAGTGTCCCTTTTGACCTCAAAATCCAAAGTAGCTCCACTCAAGACGAAAACTTTGCCTCGTCTTGAGCTGTGTGCAGCTCACCTTCTCGCAGATCTTTTTCGTCAAGTCCGCCCGTTGCTTAATTCTCCAATAGACAAGATAGTTATGTGGACTGACTCGGAAATAACGCTCCACTGGATCAAGTCGCATCCGTCGGCATGGTCAGTTTTCGTTTCAAACAGGGTTTCTCAAATCCAAGAGTGGTCCGAGAATGCAACGTGGCGACATGTCCCAACGAAATCCAACCCAGCAGACATCGTGTCC